GCGACGATGGTCCTCGTTCTCGATCTCGATCGGATCCAGCCGATTCGGAGGGTGAACCGAGCAGGGCTACGTCGAACTTCTCTCCGGTGTCCATCGCGAAAACCTTCTCCATTTCCTCGTCGAGCTCCGGTCCCGTTTCCGCGCCATGGCCGTCGACCTGGTACAAAAACAACAACAATATTATTTCAAATCCAGCTGTTTCCAATGAATCGTCTGTTCGCCTTTTCACCGTAGCCGAGAAAACACGACCGAGTTCGCTTCTATCCGATACAACGTCGAACGTGATTTCTATTTGAACAGTTAGACGATCGCATTTCGTCAAATTCTCATCAACTTGCTGCCGACGAACTTTCTTTTTAACGAGTTCGCTACGTTCAACGAACGACCAGCCCGTCGTTGCTTTCGTTACAGGTAGTTGCATAATATCGATCTATTCGGAAGGTGAGAATCTCAACACCTTCCAGTAACGACGTTTACTCTCAACGAGCTAATACCGTGACAGCTTTGCAACACGTTAAACGTCGTTACAGCGTGTACGTACGAGGAAAGAAAGGGTCGATCGAAAGGGACGGAGATCGGCACGTTGGACGGATCCAGCCGGCAAAACGATTCCGAGTTTGCGAAAGGGAAACAAGAGAGAAAGAGACTGTGTGGTGTGTAGGAACGAGGTGAAAAAACGATCGATCAAGTTGAAAAACCGGTTTCAGGCGGAACCGTGAAAACTTTGTTTGCAATTTTTCGAGCGAACGCTTCGATAAACGATGCACTCGAGTTCATCCCTCGTCAACGCCGTTACGAAATCGTTTTGTGTCAAAGACCCTGGTGGCGCGAGCAAAATTTTGATCGTTTCCCATCAAAGCGATCGAACCTACGCGCGTCTAAGAGAAGAATCACGTTGACGATCGGATCGGTCCAACCTAATGTCATCGATCTCGTGTCTCGAAACAGGAATCACCCTTTTACTTTCGATGCATGTTCCTTAAAAAGAAGAACAAAAAAAAAAGAAAGAAAAAAAGACGGCTGTTTCTCGCGCGATTCTTCCGAAAACAACACAGCGTCACATCGTTGGAAAACGATAGTCGCGATTACGAAAAGTTTATTCCCGATTACCAGTGAGATACGGAGGAAACTGGCTGGCTGGCGACTCGCGTACCAAGCGATTTACTTTCAGGACGGAACCGAGATATTTGAATGGCAGAGCGAAATTCCCTTTCACTGGTGCACTTGGTTTCCACTCTTCCTCGTCTTCCTTTCGTTTGCTTTATGCTCGAACCCTTTTACGATAATGGGAATTAGAGTGCGAGGAATTAAAGCGGGGAAACGGCGGAATGGCTATTAACGGAGAAACGTGAAATTAATTCCGCCAGCGAGGCAGCGCTCAGCTGTCGTTAACGACCGCCAACATCGGCTAACGTATGGCGAAGAGCCGCAGCTGGCAACGACGTTCGATTCAATGCACGCGTTTCGTGCACTACGTAAATCACGTAAGCGAAACGGTTGTTTCCGGCGAGGATGCTGCGCCGTTTCTGTTCCAGCCTCTGCCCGGGTCTTGCTACGCTCGAATTACCTCCGATAATCCAGCAACGCAACATAAGAAAAGAAACTCGCCACTCGAGAGCACTGAAACATGGTCGGTGGCGGTTGATCGAGTCGTTGCAACACTCGGAACTATGTTCGTTAGAGGGCAATTTGCAAGCAGCCCGACTGGTCGAGACACGTCACGGAACAGCTCGATCCGACGATTGCTACATGCTGCAACGATGTTCGGCCAAGCATTGGCATCGGGTGGCTGGACGAGGGAAAAATGTATCGGGCGAACGAGTGCACTTACGACGCGTCGATCTCGCGTTCTAACGAACACGTCTGAAAGGAGGGAACGCCGCGATCGAAAAGGCAAACGATTTCACCGACGAGATCTGGTGCACGCCGAGTGTCGGGGATCAGGTGCACCGGTTGGTTCGCGTCCACACGCAGACACTGGCACGACCGTGCCACAGATATCACCTGATGGCTGGTCCGCAGGGAGCGGCGTAACCAACGGAGAACTTTGCCCGATGCCCGTTGAAGGAACGACTTCCCGGAGGAATTAGCGGCGGCCTCGGGCATGGCATTCCNNNCGGGCCGAAGTGACACTCGCTCGCTCGGCTCGTGCTTACAGCTCGAAAATCCAAACTGACGGAGAGGGTAGCGCAACCACCGGCCGTCAGACAGAGAGCCGCACATCCTACGTGGAGGGGATGCCCGCGCTGTTAGGGGTGGGCAGCGGGGAGTATCTCCGCCGGTCGATATCTACCCCATACGTCGCGGCCAGACGACGGATCCTTCGAAAGGTTACCCTTCTCCCTGCGACTCGGATCGCGCGCTGCTCCCGGGACGGGACCACGGCGGCTACAACGATCTCGCGATCCTACGTGCAATTCCCACACGCCACGCTGCGAGCCAGTGGCCGCGGGTTGAAAACGGTGTCGTTTCGATCGCCGCTCGAGAACGTCGCGTTAAGAAGGTCGTGGTTTCCGCGGTAAAATGATCTCCGCTTGTTCGTTGCTTAGGCGAGCTACCGTGCGTCCTCTACAGTTGCAGCGCTGGTCGGATGATGGACGTTTCGTCGTGCTGACCTTGGGAATGAAGGAACTACTGGCTTGGCAACTAAACGATCGCGGATTTTGTCATTAGGCGGTA